CGGCGGAGGCGGCAGCGGCCCGGGAGCCGGCGCGGCAGCCGAAGAGATCAACACCAAAGAGGTGGCCCAGCGCATCACGGCGGAGCTGAAGCGCTACAGCATCCCGCAGGCCATCTTCGCGCAGCGCATCCTGTGCCGCTCGCAGGGCACCCTCTCCGACCTGCTGCGCAACCCCAAGCCTTGGAGCAAGCTCAAGTCCGGTCGCGAGACCTTCCGCAGGATGTGGAAGTGGCTGCAGGAGCCCGAGTTCCAGCGCATGTCGGCGCTGCGCCTAGCAGGTAGGGACGAGGGCCCTAGAGGCTTGGCCCTGGGGGACACACCTGGCTTAGGGTGAGGGACTGACTATCTAGGGCCTCGGAGAGTGGGTCTCGGTCGGCTGGGGGTTTCCCCTGGCCTAGGAGGATGACCTCGGGTCTACACCGCCAAGATCGCACCGTCGTCGCCGTCCCTGGTCTTGGGGGACTGTGTAGGGTGTCTAGTGTCTTTGGGGGCTAAACTAAAACAGCCCTCGCGTAGACCCGTGTGCGCGCGCGCGGTACACTCCTTCGGTTTGTGATCCTGTGTGTCCCCCGCGACCAGAAGGTGCCACTCCCCTCCTCATAGCCACCGTGCAAGAGGGCCCACCGGCGCCTCCCTGCACCCAGTCAAAAAGCGCCGGGTCGCTTACTATGCTCAGTCAAGGCCTGGCCACCTCTCGGCCCCCAGCCCCAGCCCCAGCACCGATCTCTCTTCCTGTGTAGCTCAACCCCTGCCACCGATCGATCCGCTAGTCCCCTCTCCCTCCCCCCTCTGGCTGCTGGCAAAGGTCATTTGAGATGGGGGGAGGGGCGACCCATGGGACCCTGGGTTCCGTGGCATCCAGCAGAGGCCTTCACACCCGCGGTGGCTCCCCGGGCCCCTTCCTACTTCTCTCCATCCCATCGGGACAAATGGCAGTCGCTCTCTTTGGACCGGTGCTCGGGTTCCAGCCCACTCTCTCTTTATTCTTTCCTTCCCTCGTGTCTTGCCTGAGTCTTTCCCCCACACAGGCATACCAGCCAGCCCCTGGGGAACCCGTTGTCTCCTCCTTTGGTCTAATCTATCTGCTCCCACCCTATCTCTGAGTGGATGTGTGTGTGTCAAGTACCCTACAACCTGTGTGTTTGCGGGGTGCCAGAGAGCTGGTGGTCTAGGCAGAGCATTTTTCTCTGGGCGGTGGGGAGGGAGCTGTGTACCCCGTTCTAGGGACAATAGCGGTTTCCAGAGAGTCATCGATCCCTCTGCACACAAACACAGAGAGGGGCGGGGCAGCCGGGGCTCAGGAAGGCGCCCCTGAGGCACGAGCAAGCCAGCGAGCCGAGCACCAGGTTGACTGTATTCCCCAGGCCACCCTGCAAGCTTGGGGTGGGGGGGAATTACTGGATGGTACCAGGTGGGTAGAAGCCTTAGACACCTGCTCCTGTCCCAACATTCCAAGTTTTGTGCGGCCTCCTGCAGCCAGCCTCAGTTTCCCCCTTCCTTGGGAGTCTTCCGTGATGACTGCTTGAGATCGGTAGGCAGGCGAGAAACAGGTTTATCTGAAGGGTCTTGTTGCTGGATGATAACGCGTCTCAGCACGCAGCCCCTCTCCACCTCACTGACTGTCCTCAAGCAGGATTGCCAGGGACCAGTGCAGTTCTGGGCCACAAGCTGCTGGGGGACTGTCACCAAGTTCTGTGTTCTGTGAATTCTGAAAGTAAAGCCTCCTCTCCTGGACACACAGGGACACTCCCTACCCTGAACCCACCTGACTGTCACCTTCAGCGGCCATGCTGGTCAAGGTAGTGTTCAGTTGGTCTTTTGTGGACACCATACAAAGGGCAACTGCACCGCAGGGGCCTTGGGACATCTATTGGGTACAGGGTCCCAGAGCCTTAGTCTAAATTCACATCAACACCAAGGCTGCTGGCCCTCTGTGTTATTACAGACAGGAAACTGAGGCCAGACTCGTCCTTGTCTGAGCTGCTGCAGTGACCGAGGTCTCCTCCTCGGGGACTGTATCATATACGGTGGACGTGTGGGCGCTTCAGAGGAGCACTCATGGGGCACACACTGTTGTAGATAACTCAAGATGGTAGACCTGGCCGATTCCAGACCTACCTTAGGGTCCACACTCTGGCGCTGGAGCCAGAAGTGGCAGCCAGCCCAACCAGGGTCATTAGGTCCCAGTCTTTAGTTCTGGTCCCTGCACAAATGAAAAGCAGCTAAGTGGCGGTAAATTGTGGTGTTTAGGGGGTGGTGGAGGCAGTCAGGCAAATCCCTTCAACATACTGTGTCTTGGTGACAGCCCGAGGCCTGCAGGTGTCCCCACACCAGTACCAGACCGGGAGCATCACCCCCTTGTGTGTCTACTTGGGGCAAAATTGGACCTTGGCTTCCATGAGCCTGTGAGGGAAATTCTCCTTGCAAGTCACAGCCTCACTAGGAAACATTGTCCCCAGTACTATCAACCTGAGAGTCCTGCAAAAAACAGTGAGAGAAAGGGATGGTGAGGGACCAGGTGGAGAGGGGAGAGGATGGAGGATGGATGGATGGATAGATAGATAGATAGATAGATAGATAGACAGACAGACAGACAGATGCTAGATAGATAGACAGACAGACAGACAGACAGATGCTAGATAGATAGACAGACAGACAGATGATAGATAGATAGACAGACAGACAGACAGACAGATGATAGATGGATAGATGGATGGATGGATGGATGGATAGATGGATAGATAGATAGAAAGATAGATAGACAGACAGATGATAGATATTTAGATAGATAGACAGACAGACAGATGATAGATAGATAGATAGATAGATAGATAGATAGATAGATAGATGATAGACGGATAGATGGATGGACGGATGGATGGATCGATGGATGGACGGAAAGACAGAGGAGAGAGAGATGGAGAAGAAATGAAAGGTGGAAGAGAAGAGACAGGGAGAAAAGAGAGAGGAAAAGAGAAAGAGATGGAGAGAAATGAGTTGAAGAGAGAGGGAGAGAGAGGTGGAGAGAGGTGAGTTGGAGAGACAGAGAAAATAGAGGGATGGAGAGAGGGAAAGAGACTAAAGCAGAAAGAAACAGAAAGGAGCTTTGGAGACAAAGAAAGGGAGGAGCCATGGCGGCCAAGGTGGCTGAGCTCGACCTGGGGGTCCCCTGGCTGCTCCTGCCCCCCAGCTCCAGGAGAGCCTCCCAGCCTCCCTTCCCTCATCTGGAGACCACTGAGGGTCCTTCCTTTCTTTGTCCTTCCCAAGCAACACAGCAAAGAGCCCCAGAATCTCATCCCTACTGCAGTGTGCATTGTCCTCGGTGTGCACAAGCCTCAGTTTCCCCAATGTAGAACATGCATTGTGTGCATGGGGAGGAGACACTGGGGATCCAGACTCAGGCTCCCCTAAACATTTTCCCACCATTCTGGGGGGACATTTGTATCTGCTCCCATCCCACCCCAGAGTCCCCTCTCTGAGCTGCTCCCCCCCCACAGATACCCCAGCAACAGCGCAAACTGTGACTATGGGAGCCAGGCTGGGGGAGGGGAGGCTCCTGGCGGGTGGGGCGGTCGATGAATTCGAATTACCGTCTGTGATTCATCACCGTGCAGGTCGATAGCCTCGGCCGGCTTCAAATATTGTTTAAATTGCAACTCTGGACTGAAAAAAATTCTTTTTTTTTGTAACTGATCAGAAAAAAATATACATATATAATAAGACATTCAAAGAAGGGGACAGGAATTCACACACACACACTCATGCACACACATCACAAACCATACACATCACACACTCACCATACACACATGCATGCATACATACATGCACGCGCACACACCCCCACAAACCATACACATCATACACACACCATACATATACATAACATACACGCACACCACATGCATGAACACACACCACACCACCATACATATACATAGACACCATACAAACCACCACACACCATGTGCATGAACACACACACACCCCTTCTTCAACCTCTTCCCCAGGGTTGCTACACAACGGGAAGGGAAGCAGAGCCCAGGGTGTGGACAGGTGGAGAAGAGCAAGGAGTAGAAGTTGAGGCAGGAAACAAGGTTGGCTCTGTGGGATGCTTGATTCTCTGGAGGTCCACATGGGACTGGTGCAGAGGCAGCTGGCCATCAGCAATGGACAGGGAGGCCAGTGGGGGCTGGGCTAGAGAAAGAACCGAACCCAAGCGGGGTCCCCTGTTCCTACCGTTTGACACAGGGTTTCCTGGTAATCCAGGCTGGCTGAGGCTGACCCTGAACTCTTGATCCTCCTGAGTGCTGGGGTGACAGGCATGTGCCAACATATCTGGTCTATGTGGTGCTGGGCTGGACCTAGGACCCCATGCATGTCAGTCCAGGACGCTCCCCACTGAGCTACAGTCCTGCCTCTCATCCCTGTGTAAATGTCAGATACTCTGACAGACACCCCACACACACAGGGGGCCCTTGACAGACACCCCCCCACACACAGGAGGCCCTCTGACAGACACCCCCCCACAGGAGGCCCTTGACAGACACCCACACACACAGGAGGCCCTTGACAGACACCCACACAGGAGGCCCTTGACAGACACCCACACACACAGGAGGCCCTTGACAGACACCCACACACACAGGAGGCCCTTGACAGACACCCCCCCACAGGAGGCCCCGCACCCACAGGGTGGTAGAAAGCCTGTTCTGAACGCTGTACTCACCTGTCTCATCCTTGTCTGACAAAGGTCTCAGCCTCAGTGTCCTAATCTGAGAAATGGGAACAGTCACGCAAGCCCCTGAGAGAGCAGCAGGGACTCTGAGAAGGTACTGGGTGTGTGGGTGGTGCAAGCCCACATGGGGAAAGTGAAGACACTGTTTGGGCAGTGGTGGCACACGCCTTTAATCCCAGCACTCGGGAGGCAGAGGCAGGTGGATCTCTGTGAGTTCGAGGCCAGCCTGGTCTGCAAGGTGAGTTCCAGGACAGGCTCCAAAGCTACAGAGAAACCCTGTCTCGAAAAACAACAGCAACAACAAAAAGTGGAGCCATTGCAGGTGCCCACAGAGAATACACAGAACCTGGAGGCCATGTCCCCAGGGCTAACCATTCCCAAGGGGATGCTCGAAGCCCCTAAAACGAGAGTCTTTGCCCTTCAGCACAGAACCTGCTCAGGATAAGGACCTGCTGACCTGCTAGTTCCTCAAAGATCGCAATGGGATGATTTACAACCAAGGCCTCCTCTGCAGGCTAAGGAAATGCCCACCCCTGACCA